AAAAATGGGAATGTCTTAAGTTAATGAATGGAACATATTTGGATCATTTATAGGTTTTGGTTTTGGATAGGCTTATGTTCAGCAGCTGGAGAATAGTCGACTTAGGCTTTCGCAACTAGAGCAAGAGCTTCAACGAGCACGGCAGCAGGTACACGATTTTAAGATTTCTCTTAATTATTCGTGTCGTTATTATTATTACTATTATTATTATCATTATCATTGTTATTATATCTCTCTGTCATAGTTAAAACTCTTTCCTTCTTGGATTTGATATTCCAATGCAGGGTATGTTTATTGCATCTGGATTTTCAGGTGATCACAATCAGTTAATGGTTGGAAATGGTGCGTATTTGAATGGTTGTGCATCTTTCATTAGAATCTTCAGTTTTCAGTGTTCTTGTGAGTTAGAAAACATTGAAAAAGTTTGTCAGTTGGAAAGTTGAAATTGGCTGATCAAATTCTTGTATCGCTGAAAAGTTTAGTATTTGAACTTTGCATATTTCTCAGATGTAAAATAGCTTTCTAAAAGAATTACGACTTTGTTTTGTGCTCTAATCCTTTTAAGTCCTTTGGATGAACTCATTCCCTGAGCAATACTTGACCTTCATACACTACGGAGAATGTGTTGCACCTTGTCACATGGTTTCACAATTTCAATTTCCAGGGGCGCTTACATTTGACTTGGACTACACACGCTGGCTTGACGAAAATCAGCGGTTGGTAAATGATCTAAGATCAGCTGTAAATTCTCATATGGGCGACAATGAATTGCATGTTCTTGTCGACGGAGTGATGTCCCACTACGACGAACTATTCAGGCTGAAGACCATTGGAGCCAAGGCTGATGTGTTCCACATGCTCTCTGGCATGTGGAAGACCCCCGCTGAGAGGTGTTTCATGTGGTTAGGCGGATTTCGTTCATCTGAAGTTCTAAAGGTAGTCTTTTTCTTCCCTCTTTTTTTTTATTCAATTATCATTTTGCTTATGGTTTTTTGTTTGATTGTTTCTTATGTTGGAGATTCAGATACTTGGGAACCACCTTGAGCCTTTAACGGATCAACAGTTGATGGGCATATGTAATCTGCAGCAATCTTCTCAACAAGCCGAAGATGCCTTGTCACAAGGCATGGAAGCTCTCCAGCAATCCCTTGTGGAAACCCTTTCCTCAACTACTCTTGGGCCTGCTGGATCGGGAAATGTCGCCGACTACATGGGCCAAATGGCTATCGCCATGGGAAAACTTGCCACACTGGAGAACTTCCTTTACCAGGTATGACTCAACTTTTATTAGCATGTCATGTGTTAAAAAAATGGAGAATACTGTGATAGGGTAGGGAAAAAATCCCACTGGTGAGATAGTTTGTAAGTGTGAGATTGTGTTCGAACTATATCAGATTAT